TCATCCCACCAGGTTTCAGTGATGCCTATTATATCATATTGCTTTGTTATGCTTGGCGTTCAAGTTCATCTTGTTTATTTCCCATGCTCTGTGCTTTAGTGTAGAGACATCTAAGAGCATGTGTCCTCCCCAGTTGCTGCCTATGTGAGGGTTTTTTTTCTCCCACTGTTGAGCCCTTGTTCCCTCTATAGCACTTTGACTATTATCTCCAGCCCATGATGTATTCCTGCCTACTAAGATACTTTCTAAGATACTGTCCCCCTCCCCCAGATGACTCAGTTTAAAGCCCTCCTGATCAAATGTTTGATACTATTGGCAAAAATGTTTCTGCCAACTGGTGTGAGATGCAGCCCATCTTTTGCCAGAAGTCCACCCTCGTGGAACCACAACTCATGATACAAGAGACTAAATCAGTGGTAGGCAACCTTTCCCCTTTAAGGGCCGAGGGGCTTCAGCTCCCAGAATCCTCAGCCATGTTGGCCAATAGTCCCATGTTGGCCAATAGCTCCTGGGATTCTGGGAGTTGAAATCCCTTGGTCCTTAAATGGGAAAGGTTGCCTACCCCTGCTCTAAATCATTCTTGGTCGCACCATCTACGGAGCCAGTTATTCACATCTTATATTTTCCTCTCCCTTCAACTAGGAGAAGAGATGAGATAACAACCTAACTACTTAAAGCCTCATAATCCCTTCAGATATTCTGAAGGCTATGCCTTGCAGTATCATTAGTTCCCATATGGACCAAGAGGAAGGGGTAATGGTCAGTAGGCTTAACAAGTCTTGTCAGCCTGACTGTCACATTACTGATTTTTGCCCCAGGTAAACAACACACCTCCCAGGACATCATGTCAGGTCCACAAACCACTGTTTCTGTATCCCTCAACAAGGAGTCCCCACCACCACCACATACCTTCTCTGAAGCTTAGCAATGGCTGTTCCCTGTGGTGGTACTTTCAGGGTCCCCTGCACTGTCCTTGAGGACTGTTCCTGCTACTCATCCTCTTCTTCCTTGATAAGTGATAGAGCTTCAAATTGATTCTGTAGCTGCAAGTTCCCAGAATGATCCCTGATTTCTCTACTTCTGTGTGTGACATTCCTCCAGCTGTCTACCTCCTGTATGTGTGAAGTGACTTTCTCCCCATCAACCTCCTCTGTGTGGTCCCCATCCAAGACTGTTCTTTCCATTCTGTCTAGAAAAATCTCTTGCTCCCTAATATGCTGAAGTGTAGCTACCTGGGCCTCCAGCTGCTGGACTTTCTCTTCCAGGAGGGCTACCAGCTTGCACTTTGTGTCAGTGAAGTTCCCCAGATCTCTAGGCAAGAAGACAACCATCCCACAAGTGTTGCAGGTGACTGCAGCAGCTCCCTCAGAGTCCATATTGAGAGATTTTAAGGAAGAACTGAAACAGGATTGTGGGTTTCTCCCTCAAAAAGTCCCGTGGTAAAGACCCACGTAAAGGGCCCCTGTTGTCTTGGTCTTTTGCACCAGGCTCTGTCAGCGAGCTCATTGAACTGGGTTTATAACTCTATAGAGAACTCCTGAATGCTACCTAATTCTGGAGGCAAGTCTCTCTTCCTCTGAGCAAAAAACAAACAAACAAAAAACCAAAACCCCAAAGCCCTTTAAATTATTATTATTATTTTTTAAGGAGAACCTCTAAAAGAAAGTTCCCAGGACCCCTTCTACCTATGCTGTGCTTTCCCTTGTTTTGCAAAAAAATTGTGTGCTGTTAGGTGCACGCCTCTGAGAGGAGTTATATAGAGCTAGGTGGCTAGCTCCACCCCGTAGTGACTCACAGATGTGACTATTTGTTGATGGATTGCTATAGGGAGCAAATAGAAGAGGCTTAGAACTAACTAATAAGCAAATAATGATGCTGAAAGTGGATACAGTGACTGTGAACAAAGATAAAAGCTTGGGTATAGATGCAGTATGATGCTAGCACAGTGAAAAACTCAGGTACCATAGTGGTGCTGGATTTAGCCAGATGACAAAACATAATGAAAGAGACAGCATGCAGTGCTTCCTCTTGTGGAATCAGTTGAACAAACGAATGTTCATTTTTCATTTTCATTTTCATCTCCCCAATTCATTTCATTTCATCTCCCCAATCAAAGTGATAGAAGACAATAATGAAACAAGTGATCAGTGTTTTGAGAAGCATGAAACATTAATGAGGGAAAGGTTAATTGAGATGGAGTAGATGGGTGCATTAGATGCAGTGGGATAGATTAGTAGTTTGTAAGAGAGCCACTGTGACATAGTGGTTTGAGTGTTGGACTAGGACTCTGGAGACCAGGGTTCGAATCCCAGCTCAGCCATGTAAACCTACTGGGTGGTTTTTTCCAGGAGCTGAGGGTGTGGCTGGGCAAAGGCTACCATCCACCACCACTACCACCACCAGTGGCCCAGGAGCCTGAGCGAGAGGCTGGGTGAAGGCTCTTTAGCCCACCCTCTCCACCACCACCAGCAGCAGCC